ACTGATGAGTTAATTCCGTAACTGATGAGTCAATCCCGTGCCTGATGAGTCAATCCCGTGCCTGTTGAGTCAATCCCGTGCCTGTTGAGTCAATCCCGTGCCTGTTGAGTCAATCTCGTGCCTGTTGAGTCAATCCCGTGCCTGTTGAGTCAATCTTGTAATTGATTGCCTTGTTCTGACCGTTACAATCATTTATTGCATTTATTAATAATTGATTTGTAACTGATGGTGTAATGATGGTAAATCCCATATAATCCGGGATTAATTGATTCCTTCCTCATTGGTAATTATGAGATATTCTCCCGCACCTGATCGGGGCTATTTCATGATGATCAGTTCCGAGGCTAACAGGCACGGTATGTTCGGTCCCGGGGGTGTTTCACATATCGTCTTTATATGTCATTCTTTACTTTTCTTCAAACTTTGCTGACACGTGTCGCCATTTAATAAACCCACATGGCGAGTCTAATTTTCACCAATACAGTAATATTTTATTCTTCATCTTTGCTCTCTGGAATTACAGGCGCTTTCTTACTTCCCGTTACTGAAGTTTTAGCTCTAATTTTATTTCATGAAAAATTTCAAGCTGAAAAGGGAATCGCTCTTTTCCTAGCTGTCTGCGGATTTATTTTCTACTTCTGTGGTGAAAATGAAGAAAGCAAGAAGGAGAAACGAGATAATTTCATGGATGATCACTTAACTTTTGCTTTATTACTTCAAAGCGATTGAGCTATTTTTTGTAATAAAAAAGTTTTTCAACTTTATCTAAGTATTCCAATAGCCACTCAAACTCTGTTTAATTATAACAGAAAGTAATAAGTAGGAGAAAAAATGCGACGCGGTGCCACTAGATATAATATCCATTCTATGATACTTTAGATACTAGTCTTAAGATACGCGATTTACGCGTGTACCCAGATAAATAAATATAAAATTCAAAACAAAAATTATATACTATATATATTTGATGTGCAATTATCGGGTGTCATTTCTAAAGTACTTCTAAAACTTGATGGTGTATTAAAGATTTTAATGATGTAATTATAAAAGAATATATCTATTACAACATTTATTTAAATATACATTTACATTTTGTACGCAAATTTTACAAATAGAAGTAGTGTTTGATATAAATAGTAAATGATATACTAGTGTAGATCATTTAATAATACTTAAATTTAAATGATCCACATAGTCTAATTTAATAATACTTCGAAACCGCTTTCATTTAGCCAACTAAAAGCAAGCAACAATAAAAATTAAGAATAATTTATGTAATCTTGTGTTAGGCTGAAGAATGTATGTACTGAAATTGACATAAAAAAGTTATTTTTAATTTGTTTGTTTTGTCTTAAAAGATTAAATATTATAGAAATTACCATAAAAATTATTGTTATTTCTATGACTTAATAAGTAACAAAAAAATACTTTTATGACGATTCTTCAAAAAATTATCAAATAATAAATTTTTTAAAAGTACTTTTATTACGATTCTTCAAAGAATTATCAAATAATACATATTAAAAATTAGTAAAAAAAAAAGAGGTTGGCGTATTTTCTATTTTAATAATTTACTTATTTAAAAATATTTTTGTAAGGATATTAATCTAACTCATTGGATCTTGCTAAATAATTTTTTAGCTAAAATAATAAATGCTGCCATAATAAATTAAAAGTTATAAGGAGAGATTTGCTTTAACATTCTTTACCTATAATTGAAGGTCCTAACGTTCCATCACATTTATATTAATTTTAATTTAATTGATTTTGGGAAAATCAGTTCTGAGTTTATTTTTTGAAATAAATTATCTTTTTGTATTACTTTATGCCTGAAGTGGAGATGGCTTATTCATCTATTTTATTCTTTAAGTAACCGCCGAAAGTTTATCATACAAACACTATATTAATATTAGTTTGATAAATTAGGTTAAGGAGCAAGAATCAATGCAGTGTTATAAATATATTATATTGTGGATGTTCATTTAGTACTCTGTTGTAAATAAGCTTCCTGAAGAAGCTTATTCATATGGGACTCCGCTGTTAATATGTTTATCTATTGATACTCTATTGGAAATAAGCCTCCTGAAGAAGCTTATCACTTCGGTACCCGGTTATGGATAAATATTACCCCCGGTAGAAGATTATCTATATCGGGTATAATAAGCTTATCCTTTCGATACCCGGTTGTGGATAAACATTACCCCCGGTAGAAGATTATCCATATCTGGTATAATGAGTTTATCCTTTCGATACCCGGTTATGGATAAACATTAGTCTCAGTATAAGATTATCCATATCTGGTACAGTAACAGCTTACACAGCAGCTTGTAGCAGCTTACACAACAGCTTGCAGTAGCAGCTTACACAGCTGCTTCCTTTCTTCTATAAATAGAAGAGATATCAGTTTATTATTTATATCAGTTTGGAATTCGAATGATATATCAGTTTCTCTCTATATTTATCTTTATTTTACAGTCTTTATTTTATAACAACAACTTCTATTTTTTAATTGTAAGGTAGTTTTTTAAACACAAAAGAAAAGGAGGAAAAAAAAATCTAAAATAAAAACAAAACGAGAGAGAAAAGGGGGAAAAGAGTTTTTTGACTTGGTTCAGTTGTACTAGTTTCCTATAGTTTGGCAACTGGTTCAGAGTCTTGTTTTTCTTCAGAAGCGTTGAACTCAACTAAGTTTCTCATAAAAACTAGGTTTACTTTATCTCTGGTCCATGCAACCCCAACGCTATCACCAACAATAGTAGCTTTCCATTTTTACCCCAACAATGGTGTCGGATTCCGTATTGGTTGATCGCCTCCGGGAAATTCTCAAAGTTTCCGACCTTGAAACTACCACCGCCGGCAGCGTTCGTCGGAAGCTTGAGGAGGAATTCGGGGTTGACTTAAATGACAGAAAAGCCTTTATCAGAGACCAAATCGACCTTTTCCTTCGAACCCATGTTGAGGAAACCCCAAACGACGACGTACAAGAAGTAGAAGAAGAAGAAGAACAAGAAACAGAGAATGTGAAGGAAGAGGAAAATGATGATTCTTGCTCCCAAGAAGAAGAGAATGAGAGTGATACAGGGGCAAAGGAGAAAGCCCGGTATGTTTTCTTTGCAATTTCCTCACTTTTTCCTTTTATTTTACATATTTGTTAGACCCTTTCTTTATGATAGGAAGAAACCACCTAATGTTCTCGGATTTGAACCTGAGACCTAATAGTTCTCCTCCCACTTCATTTCATTGACGTCAGACCCTTTTATCTTTTCTGTTTTTCGTTTTAATGGCTACCCCTTATTTCTGCACTTGTTTTCCATACTCTATTAGCATAATAGACGAAAATTCAGATTTTTTAAATATATTTACAGTGTCTTATAAATGTTGAGATAGATTGTGGTTATATAAGATTGGACAAGATAAGAAATGATTGCAATGGTGCTTGAAATGGTTTCACTGTGTCCTACATACATGATTGAAGGTACTAAAAAGGAAAATATACCTAAAATTATTGGAGGTGTTTTGTCCTTAAAGGTCTACAATCTCTCATAATCAATACAAACTTAGTTAAGGGCATAACCAATGGAACCAAGGAATCCATATGGGCAATGCAAACACATTGGGATTAATGCTTAATCTTTGTTGTTACACTTAGGTTCGGCATTGCCAAGAGTCTTTCTAGACTGGTTCAAGACTTGTACGTCAGGGTAATTAGTGTGAGATTTACAGAATCTCTAGTTTTGAAGACCCTTAATTTGCCTTGGAAGATAAAGTATCTACTAATGGAATTAAATGGGTACGAATTGAGGGAAATGTATTTAGCTGATTAGTATAACCGAACCCAACTAGTTTGAGGTTGTAGTTTAGTTGCTTGATTGATTTATAATAATCCTTCTCATCGTGTTGAATAGATTTTGTATTCTGGCATGAATAACTGGTTCGATCATAGGAGCAGAAGGCTTATTCTAGGTTTAAGTTTGATCACCCACTTTTAAATCTTGCTTTGTGTTTTATCTAGTGTTATTCACGCTGAATTGTATTTTAATCTTTCAAGTAGGTCTGAGAAAATGAATGGAGAAGCAAAGAAAAAAGGGGGCTTTAACAAGCCATGTGCACTTTCTCCACAGCTTCAGAAACTGGTTGGCCAGTCCGAACTTGGCAGACCAGAGGTAATGCTTAACTTGTATGACATGTTGTTATGATCCTTACCTTGTGTTCGATCTAATCTCCTGTATATCTTTCGGTGATATCTCTTGGTTAGCAGGTCGTTAAGAAGATTTGGGCCTATATCCGGGAGAAGAATTTACAAAACCCACAGAACAAGCGTAAAATTTTATGTGATGAAGTTTTGAGTGAAATTTTTCGGGCCAAAACAGTCGACATGTTCCAGATGAACAAGGTGCTATCCAAGCACATTTGGCCCATAGATGAGGAAGATGGTATTATTACTTCCGTTTTGACAATTTCAATTTGTAATATAATGTTTTGCAATAGGAGCCATTTCTCATCATCATGGTATTGTTTTAGTTATTCTGGTTATCGTTTTTAGGTACTAAAATGATTGCAGAAGAGTACTGTGTCTACGGCCAGTTGCTTTTGGTTCTTGAAGCAATAGTTGCCGACTTGCATGCTTTATTCTGTAATTGTTTGACACCACATAAGTAACGGTAGTGACTTCAAAGTGCTTGTGGCTTGACCTATCATATCTATAAGACTCAGAACTCAACTTAGCGGATGTGCTTGTGAAGTTTTGAAATCTTTTATATATTCAGGATCTTTTTCTTTGACTCATGCAGCCAGTCAAGTCAAATCCTCTGTGAAGAAAAGGCTACCGAAACAAGGAAGAGAAGAAGGTGAGAATAAATTGGTCGAAGTCCAGAAAGTAATAGGCTTCAATTCCATAAAGTCTTACGCACTTTATCTAAGTCACTTGCAGTACAGTGAAGCCTTTGCTTCAGCTTTGCTCCAACTAATGACATATTCAGCATTTTGCTAAACCGCATCTACAACTCTCAATTAACCAGCTTTAGATGAGCCAAAGCAGAAAGAGAAAAGGCAGAAAGGGGGAGGATCTGGTTTTCTTGCTCCAGTTCGGTTATCAGATGCCCTTGTAAAATTCTTCGGTATTGGTGAAAATGCATTAACTCGAGCTGATGTTATCAAGCGAATATGGCAGTATATAAAAGAAAATGAGCTGCAGGTTTGTTGCATTTTCTGCTCACTTACTTCACCATCTTTAAGCTTATAACTAGGTAGCGTTGTCATTGCAGCTATTATAATTGGATGGTATTATTAGCTAAATTTAAGTGACAATAATCCTGGTAGGGAAAACTTTTCTATGGTATATCTGGGTGAATGAAGATTCCATGTAATGAAATATTGGGATGTCTTTTGGCAATGTCTAGTAGCTCTTTATTTTATCTGTTCAGAGTGATTAATACGTACTAGAGCATTATTATTGCTATTTTGTATGATATCGGCCTGACATGAATTCATTTGGAGTAACATGGTTAGTGAAAATTCATATAGGCGACCCCAACATGTTTGTGACTGAGGTGTAGTTGTTGTATCTTAAAAAATAAAGAGCTTTCTATTTGAGATATGAATACCATGACTGATTAGTTAGTATAGTTACATCTATTGGTGGTGGTTTTTCAGCAGTTATTTGCTGTGTGCTGGGCATAAGTAGCAGGTTTTGAAACATGGTAAAAAATTGACCAATCTCAGGGCTTGATAGTGTGTGCTTATCCTTTCCAGGATCCATCTGATAAGAAGACAATCATCTGCGATGAAAGGTTAAAAGAACTATTTCAAGTTGATTCCTTCCATGGCTTCACAGTTACAAAGCTCTTGACTGCTCATTTTATCAAAAGAGAAGACTGATGTTGGAATTGCAATTGGGGTAATTTTTCTTCTCTTTGGCCCTGTTAGTGGTTACTGCTTCTCTGTCTTGGTTCCTGTGGCTTTTAGGCAGATTCTGCGTAAAAGCCACAGGAAGATGATACAATTGAACTAGAATAGGATCTTGAATGTTACTGGATCAGATTATCAACTAAGATCATCCGGAGTCGGTCTCCAGGGGATAAGAAAGGCAAAAAGATAAAATGAAGAAAACAAATTTGTTATATTCTTACTCCTGCTTAGATGTTCTTAGGGATTGGTGTCTTATATTTTTAAAGTACTAACAGTCACACGAAATTTCGTTTCTCCCTCTCTCTTGGCCATTCCTTGTCAGTTCCTTTGGTCGAATTTTCTTTTTCATTGTTTCCCAGTGTTATTGTTTGAAGTGATGCAAAGCAAATGGGTGAAGCCATGCGTTTCGGAGAAATGTGTGCTTTAAACAATGACGCGCAAAGTGATCAAACGAAAAGTGAACATGCTTTGAATCTCAACTTTGAGAAGTTGGATTAATGTCAACATTATTGCATAGTATAAGATACTGAATATAATTGGTTAGGTTGCAAGTTTGAGTATTGTAGTGCTAGTTTTATTTGTTAAGTGCTTCACTTTTCGCTTAGAACCACATGAACTTTTTTTTTTTTTTTTTTGTGCTTTTCGTTTTTAAAAACAGTGTTCTTTCTTGTGTTTGTCATAGCGTAAAAGTTGTATATTTACTTTTCTGTTGGTAGAATGTTGTACGTTTATGGACACCTCAATTATACTAATGACCAGAGAGACACCTCTTCTCGGCTAAAGTGTGTCTCATGAACCCCTCACGATGACATGGCAAAGTGTGTGCTTTTTATTCATGTCTGGGCGCGTGAAACCCTCAAAATTATGTTTTTCTCTTTTTTCTTTTTAAATTAACCTTATTTTAGTGACCCACTTACCTTCATCTTCATACTTCTTCAAGTTTCACCATTGATGAAAAACAAGAACAATTAAAAAGTTTCTTCCAAATTACAACAGATGGAAAAAACATAAAATAAGCACACAATTTCGTCCAATATATACTATCACAATTGCTTATACAATCAATCACAAGCATTACCATAAATTAATTGGATAAATTAAATTTCACATCATTAAGTTAGAAGAATCATGTCTTAGATGAAATTTACCACCATAAACTTTATGACTTAACTCTACCACCATAACCTCAGTCGCCAGGCTCCTACATGGCAAAAATTAAGACCAAGATCCAATAATTTTTTTAGTTCTTGGTCGTTCAAAAGCAGGGCTCGTCGGTTGTGTATTTGGTTAAGGGGTTTTAAGATGTTGAAGGGGTGTCTGTTGGTGGAAGTGGCTGAAGATGTTGAAGGGTTGCTGGTTGTTGGGTGTTCGGCGGCGGATTTCCGGCAGATTTGAGAGGGGCGGGCGGCGGCTGCTTGTTTGTGTGATTAGGGTTCTTTGGGGCGTAAGGAAGAAGAATAGGTTGGGCGGTTTGGAGAGGGGGGGGGGGGGGCGATGGTCTAGTTGGAAATAAGGAAAAAGGTATTATTTTCTTATTAATTACATGTGTCAAATATTTTAATTATAAATTACACTTGTCATTCTTTAATAGGTTTATTGACACATCACCGGCAAGTGTAATTCACGCATATAGTCTGCTCCACTCGAATGTTTACTTGATACACTTAATAGTCATTTGAAGTGTCTAAATGGTAAATGGGTCAATTGAGGTGTCCATCTGACCGTTGAAGACAACTTGAAGAGGATGTTTATATATTTCGCCGTTCTTTTTTGGTAGTGTAGGCTTGTTCCCTATAACTTAAACTTTTGCAATTGTATCTGTTTGTCTCTAATTTTATATGCATCCTACACTTATGCTTATCATCACTCTTTTAAAAGGGCTAAAATATAATGATCGAGAACGAATATAATAAGTATTGCCACAAAACACAACTTCCGTTTCTTTAAAATAATTTCTCTTAGCATTAGATAATACTATATTCTTTGCATAAAATCGAAGTCGTACTTTCCTAAACGCATCCAAGCATAATGAGAGAATACAGATTTCGTGGTTTAAATTTTCTTTTCCATGAACTTTTAATTGTTTTTTTATTTCAAGAAGCTGGGTCTTAAAAAAATGTACTCGTCATCCCACATAGTGTACATTTATTTTGTTGGGCTTTCTGTAGAGCAAGTCGTCTTTTGGGCTTCAATAGACTATTTTGCTGAAGCAGCTTTTGCAGTGAATACAAAACTTTTCTGGGCCAGTCAATACTCATTCTATCAAGAGAAATTTAGGAGGAAGTGCACAGTTAGTCACTAATTAGAGATGTCTTTACTCTTTAGCCAATGTTTAAAATATATTCACTCTTTAGCCAGTGCTTAATAATTTTTTACCTGCCCGGAAGAAATATCCCTGTGCTAGACATGGGTGATGTGTAAATATTAAGGACATAGTATCCTTAACTTCATGAATGTTGTGTAAATATTAAGGACAAAGTGTTCTGAATTTGCACCTTCCGTTAACAAAACTTTAGGACATCATGTCCTTAACTTCATATGTGCAGTGTAAATGTTAAGGACATGGCGTCCTTAACTTTCATGTGCACGGTGTAAATGTTAAGGACATAATGTCCTTAACTTGTATTTGCACCTTTTGTTGTTAAACTTTAGGACCTCATGTCCTTAACTTCATATGTGCAGTGCAAATGTTGAGGACATGGTGTCCTTAACTTTATGAGTGTTGTGTAAATATTAAGGACATGGTGTCCTTAACTTCATGAATGCTGTGTAAATATTAAGGGCAAAGTGTCATGTATTTGCACTTTCCGTTGTTAAACTTTAGGACATCATGTCCTTAACTTCATATGTGCAGTGTAAATATTAAGGATGACGTTTTTAACTTCATGTGTGCAGTGTAAATGTTAAGGACAACATGTTCTTAATATTTACACGGCAGTCATGAAGAAAGGGTAAAAACGTCCTTTCGTGTTAATTTTAATAGAGTATTGGCTATTTTTGCTCAGCATTAAAAATACTAGATGAAAACTAAATACTATGTTAAAAAGTGGCTATTCCACGCCATTTCTTCGGAAATTTACCTTGTCAATTTTATTTTTTGAATGTGTTTTTATACTTCGCATGTTGAAATAAGAATTTGTTGCGCATTAAATCTAAAAAGAGGCTAATAGCCTGTCTGGCTAAGCTTCTAAAATATGTGTATTTTGAAAAGTGCTTTTCGAAAAAGTATTTTTGGTAAGAAGTAGTTTGTGAAAGCACTTTTGAGCAACAATTAGTGTTTGGCCAAGCTTTTAAAAAGTGTTTCTAAGTATATTTTTCTCAAAAATGCTTTTCAAAAAAGTGATTTTGGAGAGAAGCTATTTTTTTCCGCTTCTACTCAAAACCATTTGTTTCCCTTCAAAGAGCTTGGCCAAACACCTTAATTTTGGCACTTTTGCTAAAAAAAAAAAAAAAGAAATTTGGCCAAACAGGCTATAAGATTTGGAAACGATAGTGTAATATTAGTTGTAGAAAATGGGTTTTTAAAATTATTAGGATCTGATCTAAAACTGAAGTTTGAATTGTGCAAATGAATGATTGCTTTAGTTTAATATTAGCTTTCCATATCCAATTTTCAGATTTTATATGAGGGACGATGGTTATATCTTGAACTTTAGTCCCGATGAGTTTGTCTTAACAGGGTAAGTTCAAAATCTGATGTACTGTTGGCCATGATTAGTACTCTTTTGCTTCCTGAGATTATTTGACTGATATTTTGTTTTGCGATTTTGTTATGAGAGAAATTGTAGACTCATAGTACCTTTCATATATTTTTGGAATATCTGAATTTTAATTACCTAAAAAATTAGTCTACTCCAATTTGACTATTACAATTGGTTAATTGAATTTATATGACCGAAATATTTTATAGACTGAAGTAAATGTCATAATCAATAACAAACTTTAATTGTTTTTCATTTAAAATATTTTGCATTGACTTGATCTCTTTATTGAGATTCTGTAAGCAAACCAACCAAGAAACGAATCATGATGCTGGAGACCTATTGATTTGCATGCAGCCATGATATGATTCAAAAAGCATGTGATTTGCAAAACAGGAAAGAAAATACCATTATAATATGAGTTACTTATTGAAAAATAAAAGTTTAGTTAATAACAATTACAAATGAGGAAATATTTGTCATAAATGCATCGAGTTCGTTAATATTAATTCTAAAATCACTATGAGGTGCATGTGTGGTGTGTGAAAGCCCAAAAAGATGAATTCCAAATGATGGTGGCGTGACTTAATTGAAATGACAATAGTGTTAACACTCAAATTTTCTATTTCTCTTTTGGACCTCTTCATCACATTAGGTTTAATTATTTTGTCCCTATCAATATTTAGATTCATCCCATTTGTTCATATAGTAACAATGACTCTCAATACCAAAATATAATTCAAACAATTCATTATAACTAAAATTTTATATGATTCTAAGTCAAAAATTTTATATAAGAAAATAAAGTTTGGGCGTTTTGGTAATTAGAGGATACCAAAAGATTCTATGACTTCAAAAATATCTTTATTATATGTCAATAAGGCTTAGCTTAAGTGTTTAAAATTGAGATCGAGAATCTAGATGGTACATATAGTGTTTGGTTTAATACTGTGAGTAGTGTATTTTGTCGACTAGTACATGTTCTGATAATTGATATATAACTTTCTATTCAGTGTAGAGGCTTGTTCTACTGATATTCTTAATCAAGTGTAACCAAAAAAAACTATTAAATTACACTTTATTAAATTCCTAACGTTAACATATGGTTGAGATTCACTGTTTACTGGTGTTTCTCTAATCAAGGAATGGTTGAAATTCACAGCATGAAGTTATAGTGAAGATGATACAATTGAACCAGAATCATTTGATTTTTGGAAAGGGGAAAAAAGAAAAAGATGCCATTACTTTTTTACTCTTTGCTTGGGTGGGTAGTAGTTCTTTTTTAACCTTTTCATTTTTTTATTTATTGTTTCTTCTCTACTCCTATCATTCAAAAAGTTGGAGTTTTTCCTTAGAAGGTCACTTAATTAAGGGTAATTATTTATGAAAGTTATTTTTCTTTGTTTTATATGACAAAAGGCAACCTATTTTTGTCATCTTACGCACAAGGTCACTTACTATATTTTTCAATTTTTTAAAGCCAAATATTTAAAATATAACAAGGCATCCATTAAAATTACTTTTTTGGTACAATATATCATCCGGTGTACATTCTAATTCTAATTTAATTGTAGAAAATTGAAGAAAGAATTACAAGAAAATACACATGACTTCACACTATAACAAAAAATGGCCTATATTTTTAAGTTTTACCCGACCTAGCCCATATTATACATATTTTGAAAGCACTAGCAAATTCAAAATCTGTGTTCTTACAACCATTGCTTCTAAAAGCTATAGAGTTAAATCTCTGTTCTCACAAGTCACAACCATTGCTTTCAGTCTCTCTTCTTCTCACATCTTCTATATATGCTTCAAGGAGCCGTGTATTTTCTGCTTCTCCCCTGTGTCACCTGGTTGCAATGTAAGAAAATTGGGGGCATTTGTATCTATATCCGCTTTTTGTGCCACATTTTAACTTGTGCCCGCTTTACAAAAAAAAATTGCAAGCGTACCCGCTTTTTCACATAACTTCAGCACACGAGGCTGAAGTAGCAAAGGCAATCACGCAAAACTTCAGCATTCTAGTACTCGAGCCTGAAGTTCAGCTCTAACGCTGAAGTTTTTGTGTTGTAACTGGGAAACTTCAGCTCTAGAGCTGAAATTTTTGTGTTGTAACTGGGAAACTTCAGCTCTAGAGCTGAAGTTTTTGTGTTGTAACGGGAAACTTCAGCTCTTGAGCTGAAGTTTTTGTGTTGTAATTGGCTACTTTTAACTCCCTCTCTGTAATGCACATAACACATGATACTCATCTTCACTGTTATGCTAGCTTTAAGCTTTATTTTAATAATGACAATGCAAAATTAATGAATTAACTAACAACTGAATTACTTTGTGACAGTAGCCAAATCCAATCATCACGAGATAGATGAACTATAGGAGATGACATGTACAAGGATGAAACTTCACAAGAATCTAGTCAATCTAATTCAGTATAAAGGAATAAAGATGATGTTAGCAAAATAAATTAAAAGAAGAAGAAAGGAGAAATTGTATGAGTTAAGAATAAGAGCTGAAGTTATTAACTGCTACTCCTAGGGTGAAGTATCATTCTGGGATTGGTCCAAAAAAGATTTCGACGCAAGACCAATAAAAGAAAAATAGGCTATGCATTTTGTCTTTTGTTGAGAAGAAGAAAACGAATGAGGATGAGAAGGAGGAGAAGGGGACTGAAGTTATTTATGAAGTGGGTACAAGTTAAAAGTTTTAAAAAAATGGGTATAGGTTAAATGGGGGCGACCAAATAGGGCGCCCCGTGCAATTTTTATAGAAAATTGAAGAGTAGAAGTCCACCATTGAAGGCCATTCAAAGCTTTGCTTTCGGAAATAGGATTTTTTGAGTTTGTTACTTGTTTGGATTGGGTGTTGTTCCAATTGATGAAAATATCAAAAGGAGTTCAAAATTTAAATTTGAAGTGATTTGGAGTAGATTTGAGCAATATTTGAGTTAAATTTCAGAGAAGATGCAAGGAAGAAGACGAAGTCAGTTTTTTGTATATTATGTATAATCTTGTATAATAGTGTATATGAGTGTATAAACACATCTTATACACTATTATACACTTTTATACACCTTTATACAAGCGTCTGCAGACGGACTTCTTCCATAATTTTCAGTTGCAATTCTTATTCAAAACCAGTCCAAATCCATTAAATGACTTCAAATTTCATATACAATCTCCTTATACTATTTCTAACAAGTCTAAATAACACCACTCCAAATTTTTCACAAAATCAAATTCGAAATTTGAACCCTCACATTAAAGCTTGTTAAAAATCTAATTTTCACCACCCAAATAAATTTGGTTTGTTGAACTAATATTTGAGTCACGGTTACTGATTTGAAAATTAACTTAAAAGCTTGAGCAATCTTTTTAAAAATTAAATAGTAATTTTGAGAACCTATTGAAGTTGAATATTGAGTATTAGCTTATTATTTTTGGACTAGTTGTTGTAAATTAAAATATGGGCTATAAAATTGAAAAGTAAGGAGCCCAATTATTCTTATGTAAAATTTTTCCAAAATTGAACGGCTTACTTACCAGTAAACAAACTCCTCTTGTTTTCCCTAACTATAATGGAAACACCCCACCCTCCTCTCAACCTTATATATCTCGTATTTTATAGTATTTGCCTAAATTATATATTATTCACAAATATATTTTTTACTCATTAATTACACACTAAAAAATATTTTTCAAATTTCTTTTTCATTGAAAAACCAAATATAAAAAAAAATAAGTTATAAAACCACTCATTTTACATGAATACTTTTTTTAGTGAAAACGTTTTTTTTCGTACCAAACACGCCCATAGTTTATTGTTTTTCTTCCCTTTTTGGTTGGGATATTTCAACGGTAAATTACGAATGGGAAAATTTTTATACTTACATCGTGTGCTTGCATCAGACAAGGGCAAATGAATACAAATATTGTGTGTAAATAAATCTTTTTCCTACTATTTAGTCATTATGTATCTACTGTTGTATCAAGCAAATGAAATTTTTACTATTTACTGTATTTTATGGCTTTATATTCCTTTTCAAATTATGAGCCCGTTAGGGCATATAAATTTTTTCCTTTTTTTCCAAATTTTTTTTGAAAATAATGTTTGGTTATCCCATTCTTACCAATTTTTCCTTTTTCACTTGAAAATTCATTTTTCAAATCTGAAAAACTGGTTCTCACCAGTTTTTCAATTGAAAATGAGAATTTGCTAGTTTTTTGTTTTACAAATATACCCTATATTTTTAAGATTTATAAAATGACCCCATCAGTTTTTCATCTTTGGCAAATATATCTTTGGCGACTGATGGTGGAACCTAGTCCTAGTTGATACTTGAACTCTGCCTACTGGAAGTTTGATTATATGGTTATGAGAAATATGTGGCTATGCTTACTTTTGCACCTTCTTTTATGTGTTAGTAGAATTAGAAAATGTGATATTGATTTTGCATCTTCTGTGTATTGCAGTAAAGCAGAATATGATAACAGTTAAACAATAGCATTTTGATATTTTATTTCAAGTAGGATAATTAAATTGGGATGATTTTGATATTTTTTTTTTACAGTTATGGGGTATAAATCATGTTTCATGGTTTTGAAGAAAAAAAATATCCAAATATATTGCAAATTATAACCAATCATAACTTCATTTTCAATTCAAATTTTAGTGAAATTCCAAATTTTAATTTTTTTTTGGAATTTATGTCCAAGCGCCTACTATAACTCTTACTGCAATTTACCTTAATTATTTAATCAAATGTATGTAGATATAAAGTGTAAACAAATGGAGTTTTTTCTCTCTTTTTTTCAGAGATAGAGAAACGTGATAGAACAAAGGGACAAAAGGAGAGAATTTGTGTAGAGGGAATCTTGTTTGGGGTTGGGGAGTGGGACCCAGCATTTAATGGGACGCAGGGAGCACCGCCGTTTCATACGCGGCGAAACGATTCTACTTCCTATCCCTACAAATAGCCGACAATTCCACGTTATTATCGGATTCCCACTGGTGATTTTCTCCTCTCCTATGGAATCTCTTCTTCTCTTTGGCTCGGAGTTTGGACCCCAGCTTTTTCCATTTTGTTTTCTTTTCAGACCCCTTCAATTATTGCAAATGTGTCTGTCTTTCACTAACTATATCCATTTTAAACTTGTTTCACTATCAATTTTTGTCTTCTGTTTTTGCTGTAAAAATAGAGTAGTAATAGTATTCTCGAGGATTTCCTTAGAAAATGGTTCGAAACTTAGTGGCGTTTGGACATAAGAAGTTTAAAATTTCGGAAAAAAGTAAATTTTTTTTCAAATAAAAATAATATTTAAAAATTAGAGTTGTGTTTGGACATAAATATAATTTTGGGTTGTTTTTTAATTTTTGTGAGTGATCTAAGTAAAAATTTTGAAAAACAGCTTTTTGGAGTTTTTCAAATTTTCGAATATTAAAAATTTATCTTTCAGTGAAAATTAAAATTTTTATGACCAAACACTGATTTCGAAAAAAAATTCAAAAAAAAGTGAAAAAAATTTCATGGCCAAACGGGCTCTTAGTTGGCATGAACTATTTTTTTTTTTTTTACAGCTATGGTCATTATCAACAGTATTTACTAACTTTTTTCTATTAAGAGTAAATAAAATATTCTATCTCAACCTCTCTATCCCTACATCCCAAATAGAAGATGATATTTTTTCAATAGTTAAATTTTTACCGCGATAACTTTGTTAGTAGTACAACTTAACCGATCAATTTGATGCTTACTCTAATATACAGTACTCCTTCCGTCTTAATTAATATGCTATTTTTTTTTATTTTGGTTTGTTCCAAAGATAATATTACTATATTTTTTCATTTGGAAACGGTTCAACTTTAAACCCTCTTAATAATATAATTTATAGCCACACAAATACCTATAACTTATTTTAGACCATAGATTTCAAAATAATTAATGTCTTTATTAAACTCTGTGTCGAATCAAAGACTGCCACATAAATTGGGGAGGATGGAGTAACTATTTAATTTTCTATTTCTTGTTTCGGGAAAGTTTCATTCATTGACTAATTAAAGTTGATCTTGAAAATAACTTTTTGTTGGGGAGGGGGAGGAATGGAAGAGTTTGGAGTTTATGTTTCCATGATATAATCCTCGCGAAATTCAGCGTAGTTGTTACATCCCATTAATCTATAACCATATTTTGTTTTACTAATTGTTTATATATGAGTAAAACATTCTTTTAAAATTAAAATACATTAAAAAGTATAGCAACATGTTGATATATTAGAACAACTAGTCAACATAGATGTGGAATGCAGATACATTTTTCATAATTTGGTCATGTCTAATAAAATTAAGTCAAAGAAGAAAACTAGCTAGAAGGCACAGTCGTACTTTTGCTCAAACAGCTCAAGTTATGATTTCTGCTTCCGTAAAAGCAGTACAATTAGCTTTAGATCTCTTCTTCTCCAACCATAAAGGAAGACATAAATATCTTTTTCTCTTGAGTAAATCTATTTATTTTTAACGCTCTAAGCTGGCACAGCAACTGACGTGATCTGTAATAGGAAATAAGTTGCAACAATTATATCGTTGAACAAGGTATACAACCTGTAAAGTTAGGTTGTAAAAAAAGGAGAAACAATTATGAAGTTAAACTTGAGGGGAAGATAAAAAGGAACTAGAAAAAGGCAAAGTAGAATTTTTGAAGGATTTTATGGAGCGGTTCGAAATCCATTCACCTTAGCCAAAGATTTAGGGTTCGAATTTTTAATATGAATGTAATGGATGATCAGTCAAGATCTCTTCATTTTTAATAAAAAAAATTTAATTCAAGTTCTGAGAATGAAAAATTATTTTATAAGAAGCTTTTTATTTCCTTACTCGTAAAAATCACCAACAGAACAATCCATTATTGCCTCTCAACCACTCCTGGTCCTGGCTTGGTTAGTATGAAACTGACAAGAATACCTCATGAGTCATGACAAGACAAATGCAAATGGAAATCGAAGGGTATACAATAGGACAAAAGTAATATCACCAAAAAATATAGTAGCGTGATAAATATTTTTTCAATTTTAATTAGGGATTTCAAATTTAAGTGTTAATTATATAATTACTTATAACAGATATACAACTTCGAATTAGTCTGAACCCAAAACAATTATATAACGAACACAGAATAGAAATAATAATTAAAAAAAAGAAGAACAAAAGTAAGGAATCTAACCAATGAGGAAGAGATAGCGATGAGTCACAAACACATAAATTCATGATAAAATGGAGATGAATGATGAGCTTGTCATCACGTGAAAGATGCTTTGGATTGATAAGGATTGAGTTGTTGTCCTTTTCGTTTGCACCATTGAATAAGGCATCCTTTTTTTTTCAGCATCTAGAGAATGAATGAATGTTGCAGTAGGACATATCCTTTACGTGAATCTTGTGTAGCAAACTAAGCCAACCAAACAAAAGATAGATAAATGTACAACCTTTTTCACTTTTTCTTCCCTTTTTTTTTTTTACTTTAAAGTTAAGTGATCCTCTTGCCCACACCCTTAATAATCAAATCAAATTGTATGTAGATTCTTTGCTATGTTTACTACTTATTATTTTATTAAGACCGTGATGAAGAATTTTTTTAGTAAAGCTCAATGATTAGTTTAAACTTAAAACCGTCTCAAAAGTATATAAAAAAATGTTATCGTGTCAATTTGCAATGAATTGTTTCAAAGTAATTAGATGTTTGTAAGAGACTAACTCTACGACCTAAAAGACAAATTAGAAATAGTCATTGGTCGTTTTAAAAAATCAAGAAAGTTTTAATTTTGTCTTCAATTTCACCGTTATTATTTTTAAAATGCATTATTAATTACTCATTTTTAAAAAATAAAGATAATTTAATCAAATATTTTGTACAATTAATGGTATTACCTAAATTTTATTGATATACAAAAAGTATAGATCACGCAGAAAAAGTATCGAAGCGACTATTCAATAGGAGTAAGCTCTAACTCCACAACCAGTAACAGTTTGTTCAAATAAGGGAATAATCTTCTCCCTAAATCCACCCCTGCTTAAGATACTATATTTATATATATATATATGTATAAACAGATTATGCCTTATATATACATTATAATTTTTCGGCAAAGAGAGTTCGGGTGAACACCCTTCCGCCCCTAAATCCGCCCCTGCTTAAGATACTATATTCTTGGATTCCGGAGGCATCTCGAACAGAAGAATTCATCAGATGCCATTATAAGCCAATTAATTAAATTTTCTTCTTGGCATCTGGCCCTTTTGATAATTGTTTAGACAAATTAGAAATGTGGAATCACAAGTAAAGTCTTTGTTTAAGTTGCGCCTTTTCTTGAATTGACCAAATAATGGGGGGTTTTTTGGTTTGGTGGGAAGGTGGTGGTGGTCTTTTGACGTGTGTTTTTATCCAAAATTCCATTCCATCATTACCCTGTGTGGAAAGACAAAAGAGCAGAGCCAACTTAACAAGGAATCTAATGCTCCCTTTGCTTGACCGCTCGCCTATACACCACCACCAATAAGAATAATATTTAATATTGTACAACTACTACTTCCTATTCTACTCGGCACAAGTGGGAACATTTGGAATATAAATTGACTCTATTGCCCCTCTTTATCTCCTCATATAACCACCGGTATTTTTTCTTTGACAATTTCTTGATGAAATGAAATTAGACTCCAATAGGTGGTTGTTATTCTAGCAGATCTCAGCGAGTACATGTGAAATTAAGCTCGAATAGGTGGATTTAAAATTTAGATGCGCACACTTTAGTACATGTACATAGTATCTTTTAACATTGGCAGAATAACTTAAGACTCCCTAAATCTGTCATGTTTTACTGAAGGGATTTTTTTGTTCCAATACAATATTTAAAATTTATTTATTAAAATTGTTCTATATTTTTATGATGACCCAAAAGGTCATCACTTGTTTTAGAAATAAATTATGTGTTCCGAGGCCTTAAAAAAATAACATCTTTCTGTCTCACCTCGATTTGCGTGCGCAGTTCGGACGTGTATCCGGGAAGCCATTATGTGAAAATGTGTGAAAAATAATAAATTTTGCTTTTAAAATGAATTTAAATTGACTTCGGTCAATATTTTGGGTAAACAGACCCGGACCCGTGATTTGATGGTCCCGAAGGGTCCGTAGGAAAATATGGGACTTGGGCGTATGCCCGGAATCGAATTCCGAGGTCCCAAGCCCGAGAAATGAATTTCTAAAGAAAATTATTTTCTGAAATATATATGAGTTTTTGGAAATAAAATGTGTTTGAAATTTGATGGATCGGGCCCGTATTTTGGTTGCGGAGCCCGGTACAGGTGTTATATGTGATTTAAGTTGAGGCTGTAAAGTTTGGTAAGAAACGGAGGTCACATGACGTGATTCGGAACCTTAGTTGGAAAATTTGAAACTTCGAAAGTTCTTGAGATTTTCTTTGATTTTGATGCTAAATTCATAGTTGTTGATGTTATTTTGATGATTTGATTGCACGAGCAAGTCCGTACGATGTTCTTAGGTTAGTGTGCATGTTTGGTTTGGAGCCCCGAGGGCTCGGGTGAGTTTTGGATAGGCCACGGAGTGAAATTTGAACTTGGGAATTGCTGGTATGTTGCAGGTCTGCAGGCTTCGCAAATGCAAAGCCTGGCTCGCAAATGCGAAGCTTTATTACAAATGCGAAGATGACTTGGGCTGCCATAGGTCGCAAATGCGACGTATTCATCGCAAATGCGACGTATTCATCGCAAATGCGAAGGGTCCCTCGCAAATGCGAAAAGGACCGGAATTGCACTGGGTCGCAAATGCGACAAAGTCTTCGCATTTGCGAAGTTAGCAGGTTCTGAAGGGTTCGCAATTGGTCGCAATTGCGACATCTGCGACCTGCAAATCATGACTTAACCGAAAATCTTTCATTTTTCAAACTGTTTCAAAACATAAACTCTCTTGGATGATTTTCCAAAGAAAAGTTCTTCTCCAACTCGATTGTAAGTCGTTTTTAGCTCGTTTTCTTCAATCTTTAACATATTTTCACATGACTTCAACTCAAAATCAAGGGTTCTCATGGGAAAATTGGTTGTTTTAGGTAGAACCTAGGTTTTTCAAATTTTGGGGATTTGGACCTCGATTTGAGGTTCGATTTCAAAACAAATTATATATTTGGGTTCGTGGCTGAATGGGTAAGCGGGTTTTGGTTCGAACCTCGGGTTTTGACCATGTGGGCCCGGGGTCGATTTTTGACTTTTTGGGAAAAACTTTAGAAAACCTATTTCCATGCATTAGAATTGATTCATTTAGCATTTATTGATATAGTTAAGTAACTTGTGGCTAGATACAAGCGAATTGGTGGTGGAATCAAGAGGTAAAGCGATAGTTGAGGCTTGAATTGTGTTCGTGGCATCGAGGTAAGTGTTTGGTCTAACCTTAGCTTGAGGGATTAGGAGTTGTGTCCTATTTGCTATATGTTAATTGTTGAGTACGACGTATAGGCATGGTGACGAGTATCTATACGTTGGTGTCAAGCATGCCCGTGAGTCTATTACTATGATTAATGTGACTCCATTTTGTATTGTTCATGCCTTATGTGATATTTCTATTGTTGAAGAAGGCTTGTGGAAGTAAATTTGGTAATTGAACATTTAAGAGCGTTGGCTCAAGTTGTGAATTGATTTGTGAAAGCATTATTGGTATTTGAACATTGTAGAGTGTTGGCTCAAGTTGTGAATCGAATTGTGAAAGTATCATTGCTAATTGAGCATTGTAGAGCGTTGGCTCAAGTTGTAAATTGAGTTGTGAAGTAAATGTGAGAAAGAGAAGACGATTATGATATTGTCTCCCTTGCTGGGATCTTGTTGCTTTTAATATTGTTCCCTTGCCGGGATGTTGATGCTTTTGATATTGTTCCCTTGCCGGGATTTTCATTGTGATTTTGTTGTGATTCTATTTAATCCCTTTCCCTTATTGTTTGTGATTGTTGTTTGGGTGAGGAAGAGTGTTAAAGCACGAAGGGTGATGCCCAGGGGCGGATTTAGGGGGCGCAACCCTTCACCGAAAAATTATACTGTATATATAAGGCAAAATTTGTTTTTTACCTCTATATATTAAGTTTCAAACACCCTTAACACAATCCAAAAGTGTAGTTTAGTGGTCAAGGGGATTCAAAATTTACATAAGGTCATGGGTTCAATTCCCACTAGCTACAAAAAAAAAAAATTTTGAACCACCTTCATGAAGATTCTCGCTCCGACACTGGTGATGCCGTGCATTGTTTTGGTGAGAGAGTGTTAAAGCATGAAGGGTGATGTCGTGCATGATATTTCGTGAGAGAGTGTTAATGCACGAAAGGTGATGCCGTGCCGCACGATGTACCATTCCGTGCCTTTATATGAGTGATAATGCACGAAGGATCATTCCGTGCCATGATTATGTGAGGTAAAAGCACGAAGGGTGATGCCGTGCCGATTATATTGATTCTTATGGTGAGGACGAGAGTAAAAGCACGAAGGGTGATACCGTGCACGTGTCCTTGATTTTCCTGATTCTTGTTGATAATTGAGTTATGATGTTCTTTACGTTTATTTAGTGGTTTTCTGGGGTTACTTGATTTTATTGTGATGTTATTGATTCCCTTACCCAAATTTCTTTGTGACTATTGCTTGGGTGAGGAAGAGTGTAAAGCACGAAGGGTGATGCCGTGCATGATATTTGTGAGAGAGCGTAAAGCACGAAAGGTGATGTCGTGCACTTGTCTTTGATTTCCTGATTCTTGCTGGTAATTTAATTATAGTGTTCTTTACATTTATCTATTGGATTTCCGTTCTTACTTGATATTTTCCCTCAGCATGTTTCCCCTTCTTACTTTTAAATTGTACATTCTGCCTTTATTTTTCGCTGTATATGATTTAACTGCACATGCTTATTTGGTAGTCTGGTCCTAGCCTCGTCACTACTTCGCCGAGGTTAGGTTAGGCACTTACCAGCACATGGGGTCGGTTGTGCTGATACTACACTCTGCACTCTTTTGTACAGATCTTGGTGATGTAGCTTTCTGACCGCAGTGAGGTCGCTACTTCTAGTTCATTAGGCGACCCGAGGTAGTCCTGCAGGCGTCCGCAGGCCTTGGCGTCTCCTTCTATCATTTATCCTGTTTCTTTCATGTATTTCCAGAGACAGTGTTGTATTACTTTTTCAGACCTTTATTTGTAGTACTCCTAGATAGTCTGTGAAATTGTGACACCAGTCTTGGGTAGTTTTGTTACGGATTGGTATTGGCAGTATTATTAAAACATTTCATTTCAGTTTTCCGCTTATTAAATTCTGCTATTTATTAAATGTTGGTTCTTAATTGTTAACGGATTAAAATGGAAACAAGGTAAATAATTCGATTGGTTGGCTTGCCTAGCTTTCACTAGTAGGCACCATCACGACCCCCGAGGGTGGGAAATCCGGGTCGTGACAATTTTGTATAATACCACCCTAATCGAAGTTTACTTACAAGTTATATACAATTTATTATTAGTGCCTTAAATTAAGGGAATTAGTGACACTCTTTTCCTCTCTTTTTTCTCCTATCCTCTTTCCTTTTTTTTAGCGGCCCACTTAGTTACATACCCGGCTCTAAATTTTGCAGCGTAATTTTCTTTTTCGATCAATCTATTATCTCTGTATTGTGATGGAACTGCTATCTTCCCAGTAATAACAAACGAAAAAAGGGAACTTTGCATTTGAGGAGACGTGATGAGATGATTATCCAAAGGCTCTCATGTTCACCATTGCCTTTTCAATCAATCTATTTTCTGCACTGTGAGTTCTCCTTATTGTTGACAACTCTGAATGCTACCCGTAACTGGAATTTGACGAGTAATTCATGCACAACTAAAAATTTCCTTTGGCCCAATTTTATTAGGGGAAGTACATTTGGTTGCCCATATTGCAAATTCTCAGTAGACCTAGGAATTTCAATAACATCACCTTGATCTGTACTCTGAACTATAGTATCATGATTATTACATGAGGGCTTCGATTAGATCAATGATGATTAATATATAACGGCATGGTACAACATACAAATTAAAAATAAATTTTGTATAAATTTAATATATCTACAATAAAATACAAATTAAAAATAAATTATATAGTATACAACTGTAACACCTCAGACTTTAGACAGAGTCCCACATCGGTAAAACATAAGAGGGATGCTGGATATATAAGTTAACAAGCCTTAGACCCTAGTGACGCGTTTTAAACACGTGAGGGCCTAGGCCCAGAGCGGACAATATTACTAGCGGGTTGGGATGTTACAAATGGTATCAGAGCCACTCTTGTGTCAGCCTTGTCGATGCTGGGTCAAAGTTCAACTGAGTTTAGGCAAATCCCGGTTAGGCGAGGCAAACCTCAGTGCTGAGTCTAGACAAATCCCATGCGGTGGGGCGCGGTGGGAAAAACCTTAGCGAGAACGCTGAGTCCATAAAAGGGGTATATGTAACACCTCAAACTTTAGACAGAGTCCCACATCGGCAAAACATAAGAGGGATGCTGAGTATATAAGTTAACAAGCCTTAGATCCTAGTGACGCGTTTTAAACCCGTGAGAGCCTAGGCCTGGAGCGGGCAATATCACTAGCGGGCTGGGCTGTTACAACAACTTATTTATAACTTATCTACAACTTTCATATATTATTTTTACTCGGTTAAATACAATTACAACATCGTATAACTTAAATACAATTTCATACAAATTTTATACAATATGTCTTTTGTACGTATTTTGTAAATGATTTGTATATATTTTGCATGTGGTGTGTTCTTCTTCCTCTCTAAAACTCCAATAAAAACTTCCTCTCTTAATGTAATTTGGATACATATCAATAACTTTATGTAAAAAGATAGTATTTATAACTTAAATACAAATTTCATGTAACGATTCATACATGATACAACTATTTTTCAACTTTCGTACAACATTCAAATAAAAAATATATATAACTACAACAGAATACAATTTACATACAACTATAATACAACTTTAATGCAATATAGTCACTATTTTATGTCACGTGTTTTTCTTCTTCTTCGAATTTCAATCTGAAAATTCAGCCAAAATCAAGTCTAATCTTCACCAAACACCCTCAAAATTGAGATATAAACTCCAAAGAATATTTTCAATTGTTTGCAACAACACCCAATCGAAACAAAAAATAATTTTTGAAAATTCAAATTTGAATTCAAAACTTTGGTGCTCTTTAATGGCAGTCAATGGTGGAGAATCAAATACCTTCAAAATTTATTGATTGGCATTTCAATTCGAACACTAATTGTGCAACTTGAAAGGAAATTGCTAAGTTAAAACTCTATATTATAACAATTGAAATTCATTGATAAATTTCTTGAAAAAAAGAGGATAAAAAACAGAGAAAAACAAAGGAAAATTGGGGAAAGAACAGAGAGAGAGAGAGAGAGAGAGAGAGAGAGAGAGAGAGAGAGAGAGAGAGAGAGAGAGATGGATGGGAATTTCCTATTCAATTCCTCATATAAAGAGATACTCATTAATACTTTTTTTTTTTTGGTAATTAAAAATTTTTATTCACCAAAAAAATATATGTACAGCTCAAGAAAACAAAAAAACAGCCTATTTTTCTTCCACTGGGTTAGACATAGTCCCAACCTTCAGTGTTCTTCCACCTATTTCCTGGCTTTCATACACAATCCTAAACTACTCTGTATCATTTCATGGGTAAAAATTCAGGCTTTGTAGCTTTTTCCTCATCCTTGTCTTCATGCTTGCTCGATAGAATATTTCTTGTATAATCACTTTGACTATTTTCCCCACTGATCTTTGCTTTTGTTGGCAAACTCTGAAATTTCTTTCCTGCCAGATTTGATACACACTTCCAGCTCATGCCATCCTATATACTTCATCGGTTGCATTCTTCCTGTTGTGATTCGATATAGCCCATTGTACTTCACCTTCCCAATTCATAGGCTGTCTAATAATGCCCTGCCACTGTAGGAGTTTTTTCCACACTTCCTTCGATAGTTTGCATTCATAAAACATATGTTCAATGCTTTCCTCAGTAGCTCCACACATAAGGCACGTTGCATCTTGTATCACTCCCCATTTCTTCAATCTGTCTCTAGTATATAGTCTTCTGTGTGCCGTGAGCAGAAGTATAAAATTCCATTTAGGAGCACTCTGATTATTGCAGACCAATCTCTTCCACTCCACCTTTGATATATCACCTCTTAGCTTGCAGTAGAATTTATTAGTTGAGAACTGCTCCATGTTGATGAAGTCCTCCATGCTCATTCCAGCTTGTTCTACATATTTGTGAGCCTTCAATATTTTCTGCACTATCCAAGATGCTTGCGTGCATTTGGCTTCCCAAATTTGTCTTGTCCCCCCATAGTATGCATGCACCCATCTCACCCACAGCTTTTCCTTCTTCTTGCACACATTCCATAATTGTTTACAAATTGCAGCTTTACTCCATAGTTCAACATCAATAAAATTTACTCCTCCTGCAGTTTTGGGATGGCATAATGTTTCCCAAGCAATTAGTGCTTTGTTCGATCCATTTACCTCACCCCTCCATAAGAATTTTCTGCATGTTGCCACAACTTCATTCATAATCTTCTTTGGCATAACAAACACTTGTGACCAGAATGTTTATATCGAGAAAAGCACACTTTTAATCAACATGATTCTTCCAGCATATAGGAATTTCGATGTCCATCCTGTAATTCTGCCAAGCATCTTATCCAGCAATGGTTGGCACTGAGCAATAGCCAGCCTTTTTGAGCTCAAAGGCACACCTAAGTACCTGAAAGGCAACTCACCTTTGGGGAATCCAAGTACCTCCAAAACCTGTTGCTGTAGAACTGGATTCATTCCTCCACAATAGACTGAGCTTTTGTTTGGGTTTGCAATAAGTCCTGATGCCTCAGAGAACACCTTGAAGTAATTGTATAGTAGCTGTATAGATTCTTTGTCACCCTTACAGAACAATAGGAGATCATCTGCAAATCCCAGTTGAGTAATCTTCGTCTTTGCACACTTATGATGAAACTTGAAAGCAGGATTCTTTGTCAATTTCTTCAGCAGCCTACTCAGGTATTCCATAACAATAACAAACAAGTAAGGTGACATTGGGTCACCTTGTCTTAGGCCCCTCTTAGCAGTAAATGGCCTACTAGGCTTACCATTAATATTAATTGAATAAGATACTGTCCTTAAGCAGCTCATTATCCAATTGGTAAACTTAACAGGGAAGTGCAGCCCATGTAACATTTGCTCAATATAGATCCATTCCACTGAGTCGTAGGCTTTTTGCATATCAATTTTTATCATACACCTTGGCGAGATGCTTTTCCTTCTATATCCCTTTATGAGCTCATGACTTAGGATGATATTATCACTAATGATTCTTCCTGGCACAAAGGCAGACTGGCTTTGGTCAATTAGGTCAGGCATAACCAGTTGTAGTCTCGGTGTAATAATCTTTGAAATGATTTTATACAGCACCGTGCAGCAAGATATGGGCCTGAACTCCTTTATTGTTAGTGGATTCTTCACCTTTGGGACAAGTGTTACAGATGTGCAGTTTATAGGGTTGAACATGTTTCCAGTGTGAAAGAATTCCAGCACAGCACAGGGATTTCCTCTCCAATTACCTTCCAGCTCTCCTTGAAAATAAACGAATTGAAACCATCACACCCCGGAGCCTTCTGGTCATCAATATCCTTCATTGCATTATATACTTCATCTCTAGAAACTGCTTCTATCATTTTCAACTGTTGTTCTCTAGTTAGCTTGTTTCCTTCATTCAGTACATCTACTTGGACTGTTGGTAATTCTGCAGCTGCTGTTCCAAGCAATTTTTGATAGAACTTTACAATTTCACTCTCCACTTCCTTTTCATTCTGTGCTATATTACCATCAACAGTGTTCAGCCTTCTGATTTGCTTATGGGCAGTCCTATTCTTCATGCAAGCATAGAAATAAGCATTTTTTGCATCCCCTAATTGCAGCCACTTCACTCTTGATTTTTGTTTAAGAATACTTTCTTCAATCACCACCCATTTTTCTAGTTGTTGTTTTACTTCTCTCTCCTTATCAGCTAACCCCACCTGTTTCTCAGGATCTCTTGTTTCAATTTGCATTTCATTTAGTTCTTTCCTGTAATAATCTACCTTTTTAGTAACTTTTGAGAATTTCCTGCAGTTTAGTGTCTTCAGTTCTTGTTTAACTTGTTTAAGCTTATACCAGATTGCTTCCATCCCCTTCATATGCTGCCCACTTCCCCATTTATTTGTCACTATTGAAATAAAGTCAGGATGCTGGGCCAAATGATTGAAAAATTTGAATGGCCTAGCCCCTTTGATTCCTCTTCCTCCTACCTCTATGGCTAGAGGTGAATGATCTGAGAAATGCGGATCAAGAGCTGTAGCTTCCACATGTGTCCAAGTAGTCATCCATTCACTGTTCATAAGCGCCCAGTCAATTTTGCTTAGTACATGGTTATTTGTCCATGTATATCTTTTTCCATTCGTTTTAAGCTTCATCATATTAGTATCCATCATAAACTTCTTGAAGTCAGCCACCTCATATTCCTGTACTGGGTTCCCTTTAATTCTGTCATCATAGTGCAGTATAGCATTGTAGTCACCCATTAAAATCCATGCCTCTTTTTGTAGAGAAGCAATAGCTTGTAGTTCACCCCATAATGATCTTCTATTCACCAAATTATGTAAGCCATATACTATTGTTAGTTGGAATCCTACATTCAGAGCACATATCCGCACAGCCCCATGTATAAGCTGTGTGGATGTAGATATCACAGTAAATACTACTTCATTCGAATTCCATAATATCCATATTCTACTCCTTCCATTTGCATCATAATTTGAACACCAAATCCACTCTAGAGCTATTTTTTTGATTATTTGTTCTGCATACTTTCCTTGTACTCTATGTTCTAATATTGCAATCAATCCTACTTTATTATTCTTCATAAACTTTTCTAACTCGGCCTGCTTATATACTTTATTCAGGCCTCTGACATTCCATGTGATAAGCTTGACCATTCAGAATCAGGAGGTTTATCTACAAGCCCCTCATAGCTACACTATCCACAATCCCCTATAGTCCCTTCATCCATCTGGTATTGTTGCTGTTTGCTTGGCATTCCAAGAGAGCTGAACGTATTTGCTACTGCCAGTCTCTCTTGTCTAACAACTGTTTGGCCATTTCGTTTAGCTGATTTTCCTCTAACCTCTGTCCATTGCTCCATTTGTTCCTGTTGTTGTTTAGTTGTTTTTGGCTCAATCTGCACCTGCTCCCGTTGTTTCATTGTTTCCAGATTTCCCATCTGCTGAGTTCCCCCTATATCAATCTGGTTTCCCTGAGTTTGTTGATGTACCTCTTCTCTTTTCTTTTGCCACATAGTCTTCTGCTTTCCCATCCTCCCTTGATCAGGTTGTATGGCTTTTTTCTGCCCATCATCTTGGAATTTATGTCCAATTTGTAAGCATGTTGGACAATAGATAGGCTTCCAATCATATTTAATCTCTTGTTCAAACATCTTCCCCATAGGATCTCTTGCTTTGATGGAATCTGGTAAAGGCTTTGTAACATCCATCTCAATGAGCATCCTTGCATAAGATACCCTGTCAGTATTTGTGGTACATTCATCAGCATAAGCAGGCCGTCCTAGCACACTGCCAATCCTGCTTAGGGAATCCATACTCCAAAAATTTAGTGGTAGATTAGGCATCTTAATACACAATGGAATCGTTCGTAGCACCTCTTTATTGAAATCAAAATCAGCCTCCCAAATTTTAACAATAACTGGTCTGTTGTTCATTGTGTAAGGTCCTGAGAATAGAACCTCATCTCTGTCTTCTATACTCCCAAACTTTAACTGAGAAAAACCTTCATTATGATAGTATACTTTAGGTTTCGTAATATAGTTCCAATTGCTCGCAATAAACCTCTCCACTACTGCTATAGTAGGTGAATTTCCAACTACATACATTATTAGTGCTTGTTTCCACTTTTCAGTTTCCCTAACAAGCTCCTCTTGCTGCAATTGGGCCACCAATTCATCTTCTACTATAATTGGTGCTATGTATTTCAGTTCCATACCTCTAGCTGCAAATTTATTTCCATTGAATAGTGTTGCCCATGTTTTTGACTTCTCTCCTGCTTGACCTGCATCCATTTCCGTTTTCTTCTGTATATTGCCACTTATCCCAGCCTTACTCCCCAGTCCGTGTAATTCCCCCAAATTTGCTTCCTTAGCCCCTATCTTCCCCATTGTTTGATTGATCGGAGCTATCTCCATTATCGCCTTCCCACTCGAGCTAGCAGTAGCCATCCCCCCCCCCCCCCCGTTGGTGTTTGTTGATTATGATTAGGTATTGGCGTATTCACCGGAGTTTGGCCAATTTGTCTCTGCCCTACATTTAACGGTGGAGTAGGGGATCTCTTTGGCTGAATTAATGGTCCTACTCCTATGGCTTCCTTCAATAACTCTGCTGCATTTTTTGTAGCAGTTTTGTTCGCCTTCGCCGGTCGTCCCCTAGGCATTTTCCGATCCCTGCGCACGTTAGTTTAATATAAATTTCTTGATACTCATTAATACTAATTTAATTAGTATATAATTAAATTGTATATGCCCATATAATTAAGTTAAAACTTAATTAGGAAGGATAATAAAGTTTCATATATAGTATAAGAAGGTAAAAATTCCTTTATTGAATACATATCTCTACTATTTTTTATCTTGATTATTCTTGAACAAGACAATTTGATAATCTCGATCAAAATATCACTGAAGTATTTGTACTTAGTATTGGAATATAGTTTAGTGTTATCATGTTGTTCTTTTTAATTGGTTACTAGTTAAATTTGAAAATCATGATGGGAGGGGGGGGGGGGGGTTGAATAGCAATTAAAATGAATAATATGAGATTAATTAGGAAAGAAGGTGAGGTGAGATTCTCCTTTGTTGTAGTAACTCATAAGATGGGAATCTAATTGCTGTAAAGGCCTTGGCATTAAAAATAATCAAATAAGTAAAGGATATGTCATTTATTACTCATTCGTTCAGTTTTACTTGTTCATTATTGACTTTACACATCCTTTAAGAAATACTAAATAAAAAGGCATAATTTACAATGATATCCATATTAATTGATGTATAGTCTTAATGGATTTGAAATGAGTAATTAATGCCAAGGGCAAAACAGGAAAAATAAATTATCTTTCTCTTGATATGCGAAAGTGGACAAGTAAATGTAAAAATCTATTTTTAGAATAGTGGACAAGTAAAACAAACAGAAGGAGTACTTAAATATTGCTCCCTCCGGTCCACAATAAGTGATTTTTTGGCCTTTTATTTGTTGTCCAAAATAAGTGATTTTTTCAGATTTCAAGAATGAATTAATTACTTTTTTCCTACATTGCCCTTGGAGTAAATAATGTTGGAGTATTTGTTAGGAGTGTTTATGTGAAGAGATAGTAAAGGTTAATATAGTCAATTACAATGCTAATTAATGTTAAAATGTGAATTTCTTAATATGTGTGAAAATAACCAAAAAATCACTTATTTTCGATCGGAGGGAGAAGTATATATGAAGCGTGCAAATTAATTGGTCTGTGGGTTAGGGAAATGAGAAATCTGTGGTCATATCAACCTATGTTTCCCACCCATAATTAGTCTAAGATTCCGTAATCCCTTAATTCCACGTTATTCTACTCTCTGCCCTTTAAGCACCTTATTATATTAGTAGTACTTATTCATATGGGGCACTTTGGTAAAAATAATTGTATTGGAATATTATCCTGTTATGAAATATTATTATGTAATCGATGTCTATAACTCCTAAAGAAGTTACTCCCACTACTCTTCTCCATTATGTAGATAACTCCCACTACTTTTCACCATTATAGTTGTAACTCTCACACCTCCATAACCTCCCCATGATCTTTCCTCATGATCTCAATAGTTAATACCATGTTTATGATATCCCTTTGTATACCTCAATGTCATCCTATAAATAGAGGGTTTTGACATCACATTGTATACACTTGAATACATAGAAGAAATAGATTCTCTCCTCTCTTTCTCTCTACATTGTTGTCTATCTTCTTGTTTTATATTATTACTTTGAGCTAAGTCTCGTAACACGTTATCAGCACGAATATCCAACTAAATATGCTCTCATTTTTGTACACCTCCGTAAAGGCATATATTGTGCACTATCCTTATACCACAATTAGTGGCTATCAAACAAAACAAAAATAGAAGTCTGACAATTGATGGAAGCCACTGGAATGAATGCTAATACAAGATATGTTTACATCCTTCTAGTTCATTCATATTTTAGCTTTACTAATCTCAAAATTATTTATTTTGCCATGATATTTCTTCTGCCAAGTGGGATCTTACATTTTTTCTTTTCACATTAGATGATTGTAATATGAATGTTGACTTAAGTTTCTNTGAGGCATCTTTTTTGTCTCACAACTGTGTGGGTCCCAGAATTTTGTGGACCCAGATGTGTAAGATATGGGTCCACAAATAGGCTTTTTGCAAGCAATTCGGGGATTCAACAACAGTAGTAATAAGTACACCTAGAAGAACCAGGTCCTTCCAGAAGCAGTTTAAGCGAAAAAATTGAGTACCAAACAAATCACCCCCCCTCTTGTGTGGTATTGACGTTTAGAACATCAAGGGTTCTCAAAATAGTCCTTCAAAATGTGATGGCAATGTTTATCATCAAATTGGTGTGGAAAAATAACAAAGCACGTCGCTAATTATGATCCATTCCTTGAAGAGAATGTGACTTGTGATAAGCATTGAGAATGCAGACCCATTCATGAAGATGAATGTGGCAATATGTGCTAAAAGTAATGAATAAGACGTGCAATGAATGATTGAATAAATACTATAACTCACCTCTACGGGAGGTTTGAGAGAAAGAAAGATCATAAACATTACTATGTGGTTACACGAATATGTCATTGGTCGTGTACATGTGGTAAGCCGAAAATATTTTGTCACGCCTTATAAAAAGTTATTAAAGGCAAAATTAAAGCAAGAAAAGATTTTGCTTATGATGATTTTGACCATGACAATTATTATGATAAGATAATTTTCTCTGTGGAAGAAAAATTCACCACTTGGATGGTGGTATAAAAGATCTTGTAGTACAAAATTATTGAGAGGTCCGAAAGAGCGAATTTGTTACTACCCGAATTAACAAAATTATTCATGGCATTGGTGGTAGTAAGTCTCAAAAGAAACTTTTTGAGTTTCAAATGTATTAGCCAAAGTGGTTGGCATATTGAGACTATAAATGAAAGGAAGATTGAATATCTTCATATTACTATATTCATACCGGGTAAATATGAAAGGTTACCCGATTTTTCTTCTATTTGTACTACAGATGTATAAGCATGATATGAAATCACATGTCATAGTAAATTAAATATTTACTGAAATAAATATCAGTTGGCATGACCGGTTGGCCATCCCGGTTTATTATGCGAAAATTAATTGAGAATTCACATTGGCATATATTGAAGAAATAGAAGATTCTTCAAGAATTCTCTTGTGCTGCTTATTCTCATGATATACCAGTTAAGGTTGGGTACTGAATCCCTTGATTTCTGGAACGAATAGAAGGTGATATATATATGGGCCCAATCACCTGCCATGTGGATCGTTTACTATTATATGATTTTAATAGATGCATCTATTGTATGGTCACATGTGCGTTTGTTATCAACTTGCACTTTGATTTTGCAAGGTTGTTTGCTCAAATTATTAGAGCACAGTTCCAGAATATTTATGATAATTTATCTTGATAATGCTGGTTTAAATCCAAGTTGGTTTAGCAGAAATTGATGCCTCCAATTATAGCTAAACCATTGGTTATGAGAACAAAACTCCCAAATAAGAATTTGGTATGAGGTGTATTATTTAATATACAACAGCACTTGTACACATCTAGCCAACAAGTTATGATAAATTCTCCCCATCACAATTGGTTCACGGTCAGGAACCAAATATTCCCAT